CCCCAAAACCCCAAAACCCCTTGAAGCTTTTATTTAAATTAGTTATGAAATTAAGAATAAATAAAATTTTGATAGTGTTACATTCAGAGTTCATTTTTATCAATTAACTTGCTCAAAGGAGATTAACTTGTCTTAATACTGCGAAAATTAAGCTTAATTAGGTTTGATTCTGGTATTTTATTCTTTGTTATAATCTTAGGTTCTTTCTTTGTTGGAGCCTAAATATTTTTCTTTTTTGTAGTAGTGGAGTTCTCGATTTTTGGAGTTTAATTTAGTAGTTTTAAAGGAGTTTCTGATTTAATTGTAGGAGTTTGATATAATGACCTTCTATTTGAATTAATTTCTTAGTTCTTTTTCTTTGTTATATTTTCATGTATATCAATCATTGATTTTTTAAGCTCCTTTATTTTTCTCTTATCCTCAGGTGATTTATCTAATCCTAATTTACCGCTTTTCAAATGATCCATCCATTAGTGGATCTACTTTTTCTCATCTCTCGGATACTCGTACAGAGGCTTAAAGTACCTTTAATTTAGTAAACCTTTTTCTTCAGAAGGATCTGAATGACCCTTCCATTTCACATTGACTATATTTTCATCATTCTTTTTCCTCCCGATGGCCGTTACTAGATCATTGATATCTCTTTATGAATCTTTTCCATCCACGGATTTCTTAGATTTATTACTTTTATAAGACCTTCTACTTGTAATAGTCCTATGAGTATTACTCTCACTTCCGACAGAAGATTATCGATCATCTCTGTTGACGATTGAAGGAGTATCATTTTAATTGAGTCTTGATTTTGATCTTTTAAACTGCCTTTTCTATATTTGCACTTTAGGCTGACAATTTTCCTTTATAAACTTCAATATGAATGTTTTGCCTGCTGCATTAAGCTTAGCGAATGTCTCAGCATCAATAGGAATTTCTTGGTAATAATTATATAATTCCTCTTCTTCAGGAGAAGTAATTACGTAAAGGGGATCCTTTTCTGCAATATCACCTATTGTAAGGTAATCCTTCGAGTGTACAGATCTTTCGTTAATAATTTTATACCGGGAATATTAAGCAGTTCGTAGTTTGAGTTATCTAAGTCTATCTCTTTCCTTTCTCTCAGCATCATATTCTTTTTTCTTTTGCAGATTCAACCTTTCAAAATATTTAGACAAGAAAAACTCGATTTCTTTGTGAGATGTAATAAATTAATCAAGCGGGAGTAAAGACTCGATAGAATCGCCTGCAGTTTCAAGTTATTAATTCAATTTCTCTATGTTTTCAGATTTAATGAGCTTTTAAGCTACAAGATATTTGATGACCTCCTTTTTATTCGCCACTATATCATAAATGATCTTTTGATTTTGAAGTTTGATCACGGCCTCATCCTCATACTCTGAATCTTCTGTCAAATACTATTCATCATCTCAGTTATCAAGTTTATACTTTGAGAATAGCATTTTCCTAAATACTTCTTTCATCCTCTATCTGTGCTTGTCCTTATCTACAATTTAGGAATGTATTTCAGACTTATCCAGATCTATTTTCCTTTTCAGTAAATACTTCTGAGGTGCTGAAATGGCTTCAGAATCCATGTTATTGCTAGCCAAGCCTTTTTTAAATGCATACGATTAAAGCATTTCATTTTCAAATTTCTTGACTTCGTTAGCTATTTATATTGAAAGAAGTTTTTTCTCTTATTCCCTTCTCTTCTTCTCCATCAATAATTATTGCTCTTGGAATTGATTGGAGCGAAAATCTTTATTGTAGCGCTGCATAAAGTCATCATTCATTTTAGTGAGAAGAGCTTTCTTTTGTTATTTGATAACTTAAGTCATTGGGAGTAATGGTGGTTTCCCATTGCTTTGCCTCATTTTTAGAATAATGAAAATTTAATATATAACAAATTAATCAATTTAGACTTTAAAAGTAAGCATAAAAAATGCATATGGGGTTTTGGGGTTTTGGGGTTTTGGGG